TGAAACCACAAACGCGGCTATAGCATGTCTTACCTTAAGCGTCCTCGTACTTTAACTATAATAGTTCAGGGCGAAAGTGTGTTTTATTACACTATACATGGTGGTAGAGCGAACTGTATTTCTTCAACACAATCTGATCTGGGATTCGAACCCAGTACCTGGGGGACGCAACTGAGCATCCGTACCTCCTCTGACAACTATTAATGACAAAATTAATGGCATACATTAATGATATGTACCCCTATCCTCTTTCACACATGCTTGCTTATCGACCCGTGAAGGTCCGGGTTAGAATTGATCTTCAGTAACCCATGCTTGTCGTAAGAGGCGACTAACGGGATCGGGTGGTCAGGCTCGCCGACTTGGTTGACACATGCCATCGGTTCCCAATTGCACAGATCGATGCTCATGCTGTTGATTACTGAATTGTTTGGTCCAGACTCGATTATTTACAGACCGCCGCCATATAGCTGGAATATTGCTGAGTGCGGCGTAAAACTAAACTCACTCACCCACTTGCTTGTCAAATCTATAGCAATCCACGTTATCGCTACTCTGGTCCGTAGATCATTGTTCCCGAGGACCCCTGAGTATAGCGTATAGTATTTTACTTCAACTGATTCAAGATGACCTGAGTGATGATTCTGACACATACACATATATGTACTTACACACACACATGCATCCATCCATCCATCCATCCATCCATCCGGGCCGGTGGGGTAGCCTAGTGCTTAAAGCGTTCGCTCGTCACGCCGAAGACCCAGGTTCGATTCCCCACATAATATAATAATAAATGCATATTTATAATGCGCCCCTTCCACACCCTAAGGCAGGCTCAAAGCGCTACAGAATATTTACACTGGAGTATTTACAGATGAAGTTATACATAATATACTGAGAAAAAGTGGGTTTTAAGTCTGGACTTAAAACTTTCAATTGTGTGAGAGCTTTTAAGGGCACATGGGAGAGAGTTCCAAAGTACAGGTGCAGAGTAAGAGAATGATCGGTGTCCGAAGGATTTCAGTTTGTAGGATGGGATGACCAGTCGATTTTGTGTGTTTGAGCGCAAGTTGCGTGCAGGGACATACGGTGAAGGGCGCAAACTGTGTTAGCGGATCGCCTGTGAAGAGAGGTTCACTGAAACACATATCAACTTCCTCGGCTGAAAGTCCTTGTCGAATGGTATCAACCTTTGAAATGAAAAATGAGTAAATGGGTACAATGTGTGAAGTCCATTTCTGGTGTTCCCCCGCCGTGATATTGCTGGAATATTGCTGAAATAAAAGTGGCGTAAACTCACACTCATTCCCATCCAGACAGACAGACAAATATCACACATACCCACATGTATACGTACGCACATACATGCATACACACACACATACATGCACGCGCACACACACACAGGCACACACACACACATTCATTCATACTTACGTTGAAGGTGGCGCAAGTAGCGTCTCATACATATGCTAGAAACACGTGACTTATATTTCGAAAATTGGTTTAAACAAATTATCTCTCTAGCTTTGTCAACACCGTCAATGGTCGTGGGTTTCGTCAAAGACCAAAACGCCCCTTACTAATCTGTCATACATTCCCGGAGCTATAATATTTTCCGTTCCGCCCATACCTGCATCTCCGATCTCACACTGCCTCCTTTTCAATTCAGAGTTATTTGTTTCTATGTACATGTGTTTGTCTAGTCTGAGACCAGCATCCCACAAAAAGCTGCGGAAGACTGTAGGAGACGGCGCGAACATCACTCACTCACTCATTCACTCACTCACTCACTCACTCACTCACTCACTCACTCACTCACTCACTCACTCACTCACTCACTCACCTCACTCTCACTCTCACTCTCACTCTCACTCACTCACTCACTCCTCACTCACTCACTCACTCACTCACTCCTCTCACTCACTCACTCACTCCTCCTCTCACTCACTCTCACTCACTCACTCACTCACCTCACTCACTCACTCTCACTCTCACTCTCACTCTCTCTCTCACTCACTCACTCACTCACTCACTCACTCACTCACTCACTCACTCACTCACTCACTCACTCACTCACTCAAACAATCACTCACTCAAACAATCACTCAAACAATCACTACATTGAGGAGATCCCCGTCGCCAAATAATGATATCTGTAAAAATTGTTGACAAACAAGGAACGGAGTAGGGGGTAACTGCAGCTAAGACACGGGGAATCCTTTTAGTTTTTCTTACAAGAACTGTTGAGCTTTAATGCAGCATTCCATGTCGGTTACTTATCCAAAGAACGCCTAATATCAAACGCACTAGCGTCTGGTAGATGCCATCTTGTGTGCATTACAGAGAGTAGATGCTATCTTGTGGTAGCCTTGTGGTCAAAGTACCCATCTGACACACCGAAGCCCCAGGTTCGAATCTCCACATGGGTAAAATGTGAGGTTCTAATGTCCATGGTGTGTTTTTGCTGGAATATTCCTAAAAGGGCTAAAGGGCTCGTATCGCGTATGGACCAAGCATTATCGTTAATTGTTAATGACGATACCTATGGACTTATTGAATAACGCAGAGATTAAGGGAGAGTGTCTATGGCTGTCGACGTTTTTATTATAAGGAAGAAAGTGTATGCTCACTCTCATCAGGTTAATGGATGTCAGGATGCATAGAGATCGAATATGTTCATGGAAACAAGAGAAATAAGTTGACAAAGATGGAAACTTTACAAGGGAAGCGAGCACTTAATTAATACTGATTGGATGGAAACTTCACAAGGGAATCGGGCACTGAATTAGTACTTATTGGATGGAAATTGAACAAAGGAAACATCGTACAACATGCTGGTTAATTTAGATACTCTTGGTTATGTAACATGGGCATCAAATATAAGATATCTGTTATTTTCGTATGGATTTGGATATGTGTGGCTTTTACAGGGTGTTGGTAGCGAGTGGTTGTTTATGAACGAATTTCGTCAAAGAGCCGTTGATATGTTTCGTCAGAATCAGATGAATACCTTTAGTTTTAGTTCTAGATTTGATGTATATAGATCCTTTAAAACAATGATCGAACCTGAGAGATATCCATCAAACACTACACGCAAGAAACTTAGAAATACAGTTATTACATTTAGACTTGGTTTGACAGATATAATGATCAATACTGGCCGTAAACATCCAAGATTTTGCCTGTTTTTATGGTGGATATCGAAGACGAATATCATCTGTTATTTATATGTGATGCTTATGCCGATTTTTAAAAGAAAGGTGTTTGTTCCACAGAAATATTTGGGTCACCCTACAAGGGAAACACTTATAAGAATGCTATCATCAGAAGACGAACCTGTTCATGTAAAATTAGCCCTGTTTTTAACACATTCACTGTCATATTTCTCCTGTCAACTAATTTCACAATGTTATAATGCTTTACACTATTTGCACTGTCCATATTTTTCCTGTCATTATAGCATTATGTACAATAAACTGTCTTGATCTTGAATTAGTACTGATTGGATGGAAGCTTTACAAGGGAAGCCAGCACTTAATTAGCACTTATTGGATGGAAACTGAACAAGGGAAGCCAGCACCTAATTAGTACTGATTGCATGGAAACTTTACAAGGGAAGCCAGCACTTAATTAGCACTTATTGGATGGAAACTGAACAAGGGAAGCCAGCACTTAATTAGTACTGATTGCATGGAAACTTTAAAGGGAAGCCAGCACTTAATTAGTACTGATTGGATGAAATCTGAACAAGTGAAGGCAGCACTCAATTAGTACTTATTGGATGGAAACGTATGGACAGATTATTTGATAGGGATGCCGCCATTGAAAGCTTTCGTATATATATTAACGACTAAGAACAAATCCCACATATTAAACCTTTCACTATATATTAAACATGCAGTAGTTAAATGAAATGAACAGCTTAAAGAACGTGGTACTTCCCGTGTGTAATAGTATGATATGTACACACTCTCTTGTATATGGGCCGGAGGCCTTTTGTACAATAAACCTTTTGACTTGACTTGACTTGACTTGACTTGACTTGACTTGACTTGACTTGACTTGACTTGACTTGATTAGCAATGTTGTTATTAGTGATGTTACTATCAGCAACCAGCGTCATTAACTGTTAATCGTTTAATGGGTTCTATTGGCCACTTGGGTACAATATGTGAAGCCCATTTCTGATGTCCCCCGCCGTGATATTGCTTGAATATTGCTAAAAGCGGCGTAAAACCATATCCACTCACTCACTAAATGACATTCTGAGAAATAACGCAGACATTGTCGTCCTAAGACTAATCAAAAGTATGACAATTATCTATATAATCAACATTCCAAGAATATGGAACAATATCGGTACCAATGATGACGTGGCGACTTAGTTTAATAATGCATTATCCCACACCAAAAATGTTTTTTCGCTTAAAATGCCTAAACGTTAATGAGCGAATAAACCGTAGAATCCGCCATCTCCAACATGAACACTTTACCTAGCAGTGGAACAGCAGGGTAGTGGCATAATTGTCTATGCAGCTTTGTGGCACTGTCACGCACGAGGCTTGGGGATTTAGGAGGAGTGCAATTAACGAGGAACAACGCTGATTTCCCTCCCACCCCCTCCGATTCCAGTCATTTTTACATCGTACACGAATCGTTTATATTTCAATCTTTTCACGGGTCAGGGAACAATTTCTACACCCGTTTTGTACTCACCTCATCCCCATTAGCAAATCTCGTGGACGAACAATTCCACGCAGACCGTAACTGTCTCCTTAAATCAACCCGCCATACAACACAGTTACCTATGATCGCGTAACGCCTTTTCTTAGGGGTGGCGTAGGGGGTCTTCAGCGTGATGGAACGCTCATTAGAAAGTCGTGAAGGAATTAATGGTGACTAAAGGATTATGTGGCCATTACTTGCACCACTGACGTCGTGGTGAGCTTGAAGTCTGCAGACAGTCGTCAGATTGTACCTGTTCAGCTACAGACATGGACACACATCGGAGGGAGAGCCTGGTAGGTCTTTGTCAACTGTATATTAACCATAACATGTTTATGACGTCATAGTGTGTATAATTGTTATGTCAGAATATGATGAGAGAGAAAATAATTTATATTACCGAATTTACCCAGGAATCGCTTTAAAAAGTAAGTATAAGATCTGTTGATTAATTTTTTTATTGCAATTAGGATGGACGGTTCGATAGAGGTTCTAACAACCTTATGAAGCAGGTGTTGGATAAGAAGCATGTATACAACGGCTGTATCGCTTCAGTCGTTAATTCGTTACATATCGAACACGTTATTCGGGGAAACAATACGTGGGTATACATAGTATTAAACCAACTGAAACTTTTGAAACAGATTGTTTAAGCGTTTTCAGAGTTAGATTCGTTACAGATTAACGCTTGGTTTCTGAATATATAATTTTTATAGAAACAAATAATTTCACTAAACTGAAAAACAAATTAGGCAGATTCAGAACGTGAACCTGAGGAAAATATACAGTTGCTTCCTTTAGGGCTTTCGCTTTGCAGAAAGGGCTGGGTGGAGCGGGAAGTAATGTGGTTCAGGCACTGTGAGACAGAGTACGTTCGTTACACTATGCATGTTCTGGTGTATGTTTAATATCAGATGATTTTATTGTAACCCGCCATGTTAGGTTGTACTGGAAACACACTCATCCGGGACATCCCAGTTGTGGAAGTTATATTACATGTCCGTAATACTCATTAAGTTGGTAATATGAGTTATAAACAACCACGTGGAGTGATGACAATTAGAGTTACATTGTTTCCCCAGGTTGAACATAACCAGTTTTGGTGTTGCGTTTTTAAAATGTTTGAGTATAGAAACAAATGCTATCTTTGGGATTATTCTCTCTCAGTAAAGTACAGTACTTTTGGGGTTGAGTCCCATCCGGGATTCGACCCCACTATCTTGGAGTGAGGCAATTGCGTACATCTCCAGGTGCAACAAACACAATATTCCCATGTCAATGTTTTATCGGGTGCCCCTTGTATTATGGACATTTATCATAATGAGGTCATGGCATTAGTAGATATCTCCGAACGATTCCGGGTAGCAGTAGCAGTAGCAGTAGCAGTAGCAGTAGCAGTAGCAGTAGCAGTAGCAGTAGCAGTAGCAGTAGCAGCAGCAGCAGCAGCAGTAGTAGTAGTAGTAGAAGTAGCAGTAGTAGTAGTAGTGCAGGGTCAAAACTATTTTAACAAATGAATAGAAATCACTGTATCCACTGTTCCAGACAACTCTTCCGTTATATTTTCTGTATATAAATGTATATCGTCCCGTTCCAGACACGCAAGCACCTGGCAGAACGACGGAGACGAGCCAAGATTAACTACTACCTGGATGAAATTGAAGCTTTGATCTCGCCGCCAGTCACGAAGGTAAGTTAACTATGTTCTATCTGATTTAGGTGAAATGGTGCGTTATCCGTCAAAGGTAACTCATAAAATCACTCAAATTCATTGTCAGCCATTGGAATTGACACCGACAGAATGTCACGATTGCGAAAAATTGATAACATAAATCCATTTTGATGAGAGAGAGAGAGAAAGAGAGAGAGAGAGAGAGAGAGAGAGAGAGAGAGAGAGAGAGAGAGAGAGAGAGAGAGAGAGACAGAGACAGAGACAGAGAGACAGAGACAGAGACGGACAGATAGACAGACACCTAACATTCACATGTACCAGCATGCATCTGTGTTGGACGCTTATTTTTTAACCATTTAGTCCAATTCAACCATTGCAATACATCATTATCGTATTTCGTGGACCACGCACTATATACCTTTATTCTCCTGATGGAGATTGCCACACCTTGATGTAAATGGATTTCATTTGTTTGCCCAGTAAAACTTGGACGCATTTGTGAAAAAACAAATACCTATGACAACTATAGACCAGAATCTTATGGATTTTGAGTTACAGTAATGTTCTCGCACAACATTTGGTAAAAATTAAATAATTCGCATTACAAGCACATAAATCAGGAGTTTGAAAGGTCTCCAGCGTCCCATGTCATGGACAATAGCCTGCAGTATTGCCGGACAGTTACAACCATTAGTAGTAGCCTGAGGCTCACTGACCAGCGACGCTTACCGGCCCCTTTCCGGCCCCCAGCCGTCAGATTACACAACTTCCCACCCCTCTCCTCCCATCTCTGCCCACAACCCACCACCCCGACAAGATACCATTCACATCCGAACCTCCAAATACCTATTAAAATTAGTTCTTGCTTCTCCTGATCCGCCCATCAAACACGTGACAGTCACGTGGCTTCTGCTCAAGGGCTGATTATAGCCTTGTTCCACCTCTAATAAGCACTTGTTTGTGTTTTCTTAAGTGATTTTGACGCATGAGTAGTAGACCTGATATGTCTATACATTGGCTTGTCACAGTGTAGCCATGGAGCGTATTGAATTGGGTGCTGTGGGCGGGGTAAACCGCCGGACGACGATTCACTCTGCTTAGATTTTCTGATAAGAGAAAATTACGCTTTCATAGCCAATGATTGGATAATGAGATAAGAATTATTCGAAAACTTCCTATTGTCATTGCTGAAATCTGACTTCAATTACTTGATTGTCAATAATATTTCGTTTCACATATACAGATTTCTTTTACAGAAATTAAATTCAGGTAGTCGGATAAAGCCATGTTTTGTTATTATTAAATGAAAACTGAATGCAGGAACAAGAGACCTTGTTCAAGGTGGCCATAATAGAAGATCAGCATAAACATGTTTGAAGCTTGCATCTCAACCATAATGATGAATACCACCATAACATTCACCACTACTGCCTCTGCTGCTGCTGCTGCTGCTACTACTACTACTACTACTACTACTACTACTACTACTACTACTACTACTACTACTACTACTACTACTACTACCACTACTACTACTACTACTACTACTACTACCCTGCCATACAGCTAGACTATTGCTGGGTGCGGCGTTAAACATCAAAGAAACTACTACCAAATATCAGTAAATACATCTACGCATCCATGTTCAGCCATGGCATACGACTACCACTACCACTACCACTACCATCACCAGCAGCAGCACTACTACTACTACTACTACTACTACTACTACTACTACTACTACTACGACTACTACGACTACTACTACTACGACTACGACGACTACGACTACTACGACTACGACGACTACGACTACTACTACGACGACGACTACGACGACGACTACTACTACTACAGTCTACAACCTGGTATATTGCAGGGGACACCGGTGAAGATGGAAAAAGCCGAACTACTTGAGAAGACAGTGGCGTACTTAAGAGCTCTGCGTTCGAACGGTAAGAAGAGACTCAATGTAATGGGTGAGACAAAACAATCTTAGCTTACAAATTAACTTACATGTTCATACACTAACAACTGGCCATTTTCTACCTTACACGTACATGCTTTTACTTTTGACACGGTCAAATGCACAACTGTTGCTGATCTTAACGCTTTTGATGGAAATTTCTAAAGTTTTACTTAATTCTCAACTATGCAGATCACATGTGACAAAACAGACACACCAATACAGCTTTCTTCCGCAGAAGATAAATCTACCGTGTTATGGTGTCTGAGGTAGTCTCACTGTAGATTAACCACTTCTTATATCAATCTAGAATCGAGCACCGTAAATATGAAGGATATCATCAACACTTATACTGCACAATAGATAATGAAAACTTGCAATTCAAATTTCAAAACCAAGATGAAAACCCACATCTGTAATTACGGTCCAAAAACCTCTCTGTGGTATGGCTGAATAAAGCCGGTTGTAGATGATGATAAAATGCCACTAAGGAGTCTGAGAGGCACTGGTTTACAGGCCACGTCACGCAGCTTGAATGGGGCGTCTTCAAATAATAAACACAAAACGCACTCACTCACTCAGTGTTTCTGTTGCAGGTGTAGACTTTCGTCATTTCCGTCAACTACCCCGACTACAGACGCCCCGAGTAAGCGTCTACTCTCCATACACAATTCCGCCAATGGTGACAGGTAGAACGTCACGTCAAGATGACGTCGCCACCGACAGTGTCTCTGACGTAATTCAACCACTGAACTTAAAGACACAGCCAAACAACGATACCAAAGAACACAACTCAATCAAGACCCCTGAAGATCTTAAAACAGAAACTCAAGACGGGAAACCCATAACTGACAATTCCAGTGCGGAAGTGACCTTGTTCTCTGGAGGAACGGCTGAGTGTGACAGCGACATTGGTACTTGTGACACTTCCTTGAAGGAGAATCTGATCCCCGTGGTGGTCAAACAGGAGAGTAACACTGACCTTTCTTTGTACAAACTCGACCCGTCCCACTTAGGAAACATAGTGTGGCGGCCATGGAAGAAAATAGTTTAGTCTGCATGGGTTTGTCAAGTAGAGTTCGGATAAACTTGCAGACAAATTCAGTGCATTTCAACAATAAAAGACTTTTATCAACAACAGCTTTCAGAGTTGTGTTTGTTTACAAAGGTTTTCTTCAAACATACCAACACATGCGTATCATTTTCATGCTCAATGAGGGGCGGTGGGGTAGCCTAGTGGTTAAAGCGTTCGCTCGTCACGTTGAAGACCCGGGTTCGATTCCCCACATGGGTTAAATGTGTGTAGCCCTTTCCTGGCGTCTCCCCGTCGTGATATTGCTGGAATATTGCAAAAAGCGGCGTACAACTAAACTCACTCACTCATGCTCTATGGAGCTATATACTCCAAGACAGTTGTGTGGATCAAAAGGGTTAATTGGGAGAGAAAGCATCAGCTGCCAATCTCTAGTCAATGTATTGTGTATACTTTTATGTGTATGATTATATTGTGAGTAAACATTTAGAAGTTTGAGAACATGAAGGCATTATAACAACTTCTTTATTCTTTCCAATGGACTTTCAAGGCAACTTTTGCCCTTCATGATTAAACTGGGTAACCTGCTGAGTTGAATTATATCCATCCTGATTCACTGACATAGGAATGATGTACAAAAGTGAAATATAGGACGATGTGATTACACTATGCCATTTAGAAAGTGGTCAAATGTAACATATGTTATATTTGGGATTACACTTTCTCAGTAAAGTACAGATTCTAGTGCTTTTCTTAGGATGAGTCCCGTTCGGGATTCGAACCCACACCCTAAGAGTCAGGCTGAGTCGAACCTATTCAAATGTGTAAAAGCAAGAGAAGCCAGTGGTCACCCACTGGTTTCACTCGTGTACTTCCTTAAAATAATGATGAAAGCGGCGTAAAATACCATGCATAATCTGTGAAAATTAAGAAGTTATGAAATGCGCACAAGGTCAGATGCATATCCAGTTGGGAATTTGTTTTTTGAAAAGGTGAGTTGTGTCCGAGAATCGTTGGTTGGAATTATCAGATTTCCCTGACAATGTCTCTGTATCTGCAGCATCAGACCTTGCTTGTGGGTAGCATCAAAGCCATAACCCCCTGCCACCTGCCTCATATAAGGCAGTCATCCACATGAACCCGTGAAGATCCGGGTTACAACTGATCTTCAGCAACCCATGCTTGCCGTAAAAGGCGACTAACGGGATCGCTGACTTGGATGACACATGCCATCGGTTCCCAATTGTGCAGATCGATGCTCATGATGTTGATCACAGGACTGTCTGGTCCAGACTCGATTATTTGCAGACCGCCGCCATATAGCTGGAATATTGCTGAGTGCGGTGTAAAACAAAACTCACTCACTCACATCAGGATTTCATGCGCATGAAGCTGATCCGTCTGTACAGCTATACATGAATAAAGTTGTGGCGTTAAACCCAACGCGCTACCATATATCTTTATGCATTGCCTGCTATTTTCAGCCTTTATTTCATAGAAAGTGAATTTGAGTAGCGTCTTTTGAATGACCCATTGGTGTACATGCGCATGTGATACATGATGTGAACTGAAAAGAACAAATCGATTTTTTATCACATGAAAACATCAAAGACATTTATACCTGACCTTGAATTATGATACCATTAGAACATACGGTCATCGCTGGCGAGATACGCGACTACGTTTTGCGTACTAATGTAATGGTTAGGTTAGGTTAGGTTACCATGAAGCACCTGAGATTGTCACGGGGTCGACGTGGGGCACCTGGTTGGACGTCCACGTCCATTTGGCCATCTGTTATAGACTTGTCTTTTTACCAAGAAAAGAACCTTGTTCGGCGAGCATCTTTTAAACGTCGCGTGGACGTTGATTATACACTGGCGCTGGCGAGATACGCGACTACGTTTTGCCTACGTGATATTGCTGGAATATTGCTAAAAGCGGCGTAAAACCAAACTCACTCACTTACTAGAGTATGTAGTGTAGTGTAGTGTAGTGTAGTGTAGTGTAGTGTAGTGTAGTGTAGTGTAGTGTAGTGTAGTGTAGTGTAGTGTAGTGTGTAGTGTAGTGTAGTGTAGTGAAGTGTAGTGTAGTGTAGTGTACTGGAGTGTAGTGTAGGAACGTAGTCTCATCAACCCTATTCAGACAATGACCTACTTTTCAGCCAATCCGAATTTTCTCGTGTGAAAGTGAAAATAGACATCACAAACAACTATGGTTACACTGAATTCCAATTCCTGTTTCATAACAAAATGGTATTTTCAACTGAATTTTAATTTTAAACTTAAATAACATCGTATTTCTATATTTTATGGCGAGGTGTAGGCAGCATGACCTCAACTAAGACGTCACAGACTGCCCCAGTTTGATGAGGTCGTAAAATGATTCGCAATGCATCTGTTACACCTGTTATGTGTTTTTGCACTTGTTCAGTGTAGTTCTGTAACGCAGAATGTGATTGATATAATATCAAGTCCGTACCAGACCGCCAAACTTTTCTAGCGGTAGAGCCTCGTTTTGAGATTTCCACGATTTCCAGGTTTCTGTTTGTCATTGCTCGCTGTACGACAGAGCACGCTGCACATGTTTGCAAGGATTATAAGGAGCGTAGTGTTGCAATAAACAAGTGCTAAGATGTATCAAATAATACTGATTAATATTTATATATCCAGTTAAATGAATTGGTCTCAAAATTCTGGACTGGTTATTGTACTAAGTTGCGCAATAGGACGGAGCCCAGTCAACAGGAAACGAGACTGTTGTGTAATCATTGTTTTGACTTGGAACGTTGGAGCGCAGTGTAATGTAGCGTAGGAGCGTAGTGTAGTGTAGGAACGTAGTGTAGTGTAGGAACGTAGTGTAGTAACGTAGTGTAGTGTAGGAGCGTAGTGTAGTGTAGGAACGTAGTGTAGTGTAGTGCAGGAACGTAGTGTAGTGTAGTGTAGGAACGTAGTGTAGTGTAGGAACGTAGTGTAATGTAGCGTAGGACTGACTGACTGACTGAGTTTGGTTTTTACGCCGCTTTTAGCAATATTCCAGCAACATCACGGCGGGGGACACCAGAAATGGGCTTCACACATTGTGCCCATGTGGGGATTCGAACTGTAGCGTAGGAGCGTAGTGTAGTGTATGAACGTATTGTAGTGTAGGAACTTAGTAAAGTGTAGTGTAGCGTAGTGTAGTGTAGGAATGTAGTGTAGTGTATGAACGTAGTGTAGTGTAGTGCAGGAACGTAGTGTAGTGTAGTGTAGGAACTTAGTGTAGTGTAGGAACGTAGTGTAGTGTAGGAACGAGGTGTAGTGTAGGAACGTAGTGTAGTGCAGGAACGAGGTGTAGTGTAGGAGCGTAGTGTATAGTGTAGCGTAAGAGTGTAATGTAGTGTAGGAGTGTAGTGTAATGTAGTGTAGGAGCGTAGTGTAGTGTAGTGTAGGAGCGTAGTGTAGTGTAGTGTAGAAGCGTAGTGTAGTGTAGAAGCGTAGTGTAGTGTAGGAACGAGGTGTAGTGTAGGAACGTAGTGTAGTGTAGGAACGAGGTGTAGTGTAGGAGCGTAGTGTATAGTGTAGCGTAAGAGTGTAATGTAGTGTAATGTAGTGTAGGAGCGTAGTGTAGGAACGTAGGAGCGTAGTGTAGTGTAGTGTAGGAGCGTAGTGTAGTGTAGGAACGTAGGAGCGTAGTGTAGTGTAGTGTAGGAACGTAGTGTAGTGTAGGAGCGTAGTGTAGTGTAGTGTAGGAACGTAGTGTAGTGTAGGCGCGTAGTGTAGTGTAGTGTAGGAGCGTAGTGTAATGTAGTGTAGGAGCGTAGTGTAGTGTAGTGTAGGAACGTAGTGTAGTGTAGGAGCGTAGTGTAGTGTAGTGTAGTGTAGGAGCGTAGTGTAGGAACGTAGGAGCGCAGTGTAATGTAGCGTGGGAGTGTAGTGTAATGTAGTGTAGGAGTGTAGTGTAGTGTAGGAACGCAGGAGCGCAGTGTAGTGTAGGAACGTAGGGACGTAGTGTAATGTAGCGTAGGAACGTAGTGTAGTGTAGGCACGTAGGAGCACATTGTAATGTAGCATAGGTGCGCAGTGCAGCGTAGGAGCATAGTGTATGAACGTAGGAACGTAGTGTAATGTAGCGTAGGAATGTAGTGTAGTGTAGGAACGTAGGAGCGCAGTGTAATGTCGCGTAGGAGCGTAGTGTAATGTAGCGTAGGAACGTAGTGTAGTGTAGGAACGTAGGAGCGCAGTGTAATGTAGCGTAGGAGCGTAGTGTAGTGTAGTAACGTAGGAGCGCAGTGAAATTTAGTGTAGGACCGTAGTGCAGGAACGTAGGAACGTATTGTAATGTAGCGTAGGAACGTAGTGTAGTGTAGGAACGTAAGAGCGCAGTGTAATGTAGCGTAGGGGCGTAGTGTAGTGTAGGAACGTAGGAGCGCAGTGTAATTTAGTGTAGGAGCGTAGTGCAGGAACGTAGGAGCGCAGTGTAATGTAGCGTAGGAGCGTAGTGCAGTGTAGGTCAATCAGTTTTGTTTTGTTTACACAATTGCCTCTACATGTGAACGTTATAATGGATAATTAAATTAAAATGGTGTAACAGTATTACATATATACTGTTCAACTGACCATCAAGCGCCAAGAATAATTGAAATGTACACATGGAAGTATCGCCAAAGCACGTGGCATCACCATTTCAGTTGATGTTTAACAACGATAAATCTCTTTCTGCAGATCCGGTTTGTTGGCAAATATATTTCTCCGTCATGTCAAACAGATGCTCTCTAATAAATTGACACCCAGATGGCGAAGACATAACTAGCTTCCACTATACCAAATCAGAATCAGTTGTCCAGGGAGCAAGACTGAAGGTAGATTCATAATTGTGGCAGCTATCATAGCATAGTGTTGTGTAATGTTTGATGTTATATATTCAATGTACAGGCACACAGTAATTATAACTAACCACGTGTTTCAATATTTAGTGCTGTCTTTTGTAACATGATGACCTATGCTGAATATCACTACATATAGTTTCATGTTGTTGACGTT